TCTTCCGTGCGTACCCACCACAGGGAAAAGCGTGAAAAAGCCTGTGGCTATTCGAGTGTACTTTCATCATCCCACACTAACAATATTACCGCGAGAGAGAGTGGTGTGTGGGTCTTACTGGATTCGAACCAGCTTTCTCCTGACTCAAATGGGGTAGGTGTTCAAGCTATTAAGTATCTACTTGGAAGAACGACCCGAATGTTGTACCACTGCACCATCCAACCCAAGTCGCCGCGCATAAGTGAACATCCTTAGTCTTCCGTCGGAGACACCTGCACTGGCTCAAAAGGCGGCAATGTAAGATAATGAAATCGACTCAATCAGTACATCAAAAAGCTGCAGAATTGATGAGGAAAGTCTGTCACCATTTTGGATATTGGTTATGAGTGATTTTCCTAATCCAAATCTGACTTATAATCAATTTAACTGACAGTAAACATTCCTTTTATCGTTACAATCTTGCAATATGGGGTTGCAATTTTCAAAACCGATGTGTGTTTTTCCTGTTGTAAATTTATTTAAATGTTTTAAACTCTGCTCATAGGTGGGGACAGTCTTGGATCAGGATGAAATTTTACGGACGACTAAGTGAACAGTCAGTCTAGTTGGCATGAGATAAAATTGGGTTTCACAAGCTATGCTCAATCAGCGAGCTAGAACAGATAAAAGATGTCACGTGTGCTCGGCTAGCTGATGGACACTACAAAGACCGCACACTCCAACCAAGAAATTACCTAAGTAGTGAAAAAGCGACACACAATCAACGTAGAGCAAGACGCCATCAGTAAGTCCAAAGACGCGATAAATCTCATCCAGTAATCACTTAAAGAAAATACTAATTGTTCTCTTCTCGCAGTGCAAATGTGAGGCAAATCATCAAAAAGCTTGAACCTAGGCCCTCTAACAATCTAAAATAGCTTTGTCAAGACGCTGACGGGTAAAACCATCACCCTCGAGGTTGAATCTTCAGATACCATCGAAAATGTCAAGTCCAAAATTCAAGACAAAGAAGGCATTCCTCCCGACCAGCAGCGATTGATATTCGCCGGTAAACAACTCGAAGATGGTCGGACTCTACTCGACTATAACATACAAAAGGTACTCGAACCCATTTCATAAAGACAGTTTTTATAAGACTAAAACAAAAAATGTTCGAGACAACCACTGACATAAATTTAGGAATCAACTCTGCATCTTGTGCTTCGTCTCCGTGGTGGAATGATTGAGCCCTCTCTAAGAGCCCTCGCATCAAAGTTTAACTGTGAAAAGATGATCTGCCGCAAATGCTATGTACGTAAAAACAACATCAGTCTATTCATTACTAAATTCCTCTAGGCCCGCCTACCCCCTCGAGCCACAAACTGCCGGAAAAAGAAATGTGGACACACAAACCAGCTCCGACCCAAGAAGAAGATAAAGTCTTGATCTTCTTGAATCTACTAAAAATTCGTTTTCACTAAGATCAGTTTTCATTAGAACGGGCACACGGTATGTCAAATATAATTCAGGAAAGCGGAACACCTGGAAACTAGCGGATATCAACCCTGAGGCAATTAGAATGCTCTAGCCTATATGGAAATTACAAATCATGTATCAGACGCGATAAACGAATAATTATTGGCAGATGTCTAGAAAGAAGACTACATACATTCGCAGTCAAACCTAATATCTGCTCTTATTTCTCTCAAAATATATGGATTCTCGTGAAACACCACGTACATGTGTAAATTAGATTGCTTCGGAGAGATCTACTTAACTGCTGTGATAGGACGCAGCATGAGTACTATAAAGACCAACACAAGTGATCCCATTATTATATTCACGATTTATCTTCAGTGAAATGAAATCTAGCAACAAATTTTAAAACTGAAACTTTGACCAATTAGGCGTTTACAGTTTTTTCTAATGCCAATTCAGTGTTGAATGATTAAGTTGATTTCCCAGGCGACACTTCACAAGGCTTTTCTAAATCCTGTTTATTCTCTTCGAGACAACAGACGGTACTATCATGTGATTTTTTGTCCGTGACCCCACAAGCCCAGCATCTATCGGGCATGATGTAGATAAATCTAGTCCCTCCCCGACGACCATATTCCATGGTAATTCACTTTGATATTTGGTCCACTCGTGCATAAGGTGCAATTGATAACACTACTCCAGATCTTCGTGCTAGGAACTCTCAACCTTCCCTCAACCTTAGACATCCACCAAGAGAAAATAGGAAAACCTTTTGTTACCCCAATATGCCTTTACCATCTATACATAGCCCCCGAGAGACAATACCGTTAGATCTCGTGTGAATAGTACAGTGAAAGCTACACTATCGTAGACTTAATAATGTGTTGAAGCCAAGATTCGTCTGACATTGCACAGTTGCAAATCCTCGAGAATCTGAAACTAAACGCATGTCATATATCAAGGGAGATTTCTAAAAATGCCAAGTGTACAATCATTCATATCCACAATTCCTGTCAACCTTTATAATCGAGGGACTATTCTCAGCTCCTATCAGTGGTATTCCCTACGAACCTCCAGCTCTCACTGTAGAGTCTACAGAGCCGAGATTGAGTAACAGAGTCCTCACTTTGACGAGGATTCTCAATCGCTTGCGCAGTCTGCATCGTTGTCATCACTCAACACAGCCCGTTATCAGCATTATCTTAGAGGCAACCACGATCAGATCAGATGGTAGAGTCGAAGCCTTTCTCGTCGTCAACCCTTGCTTGTGAAGGAAGAGCCATCCGATGAGTTTCCGGATAGTACCCTGCATCCGATACGGAGATGATGGATTGGATCAAATCGGCCTCGAATGTTACAAAGAAGGGAGATGTAGATGAATATGCGCACCTCATGTGGTCCCGGTGTCTAGGCCTCGCCTGGCTGGGGCTGCAGGTTTTTTGAGACTTTTTCCCGCGCACGCAGTTTCCATTGCTACCATTTTTATTTTTTTGGGTAGAAGGTTCCGTGGAAAAGGTGGCTGAATTCTACGGGTAAACACTGAGCTGAATGGCTATTCACCAAGGGGAATATATCAATGATCTTTCAAGTCACGTGAGATGCAAGGAGCACTGTACAAGGCGTGGCTTGGGCCGGAGAGGAGCCCAATGTGCTACATAGTCATAGACACAAGTACTATAATACATATACCACATCAAATCTGGCCTCAACTGGCTACCACTTACACACCAACGCCGATATTTGAACCTGATAGAGAAAACAAAATGTGGCATACAAATATGGGGGAAATTTATTTGGAATAGAAGTGAGAGGGTTCGGGACAAGTACACATGGTGATGCGTAGAGTGGATACTGTAAAAGGACGAGAATCACGGACGCTGCACGCAAAGGCTGCCACAAAATAATCTATATTTTCTATGGAGAGATCACGTTAGTGGGATAGAGTCAATGTAAGGTGTGTGCTGATGACACCTTACATAAGCACTTACTAAGCGTCTAACCTGCTGCACTAGACAGACCTATTTGCCACATCCCACTTACGTGCAAGGCTGGGCCCGTAAGTCAGCCCAGCCAACTAACACCGGGTAAAACCCGTAACAGATACTACCTTTACGAGCGTGAGATTTTGGCAAAGAGCTTTACAAATTAAGCTTTGCGCGTACCCAGGCTTCAGTTGCGAGAGTTATTAAGACACCGTAAAAACCGCCATGGCTGGATGGTATTGTGGTACATCGTTATGGGCGGTCTTCCAAGTAGAGTCTAGATAGCTTGGTCACAAATCCCACAATAAACAACCACGTTCTCGCGGCGCTTGCATGCTTGGATAATTAAAGGTTTTGAATCTCTCTTTGATGGGTACTTAGGAAGGAGGGTCGACTGTATGTGTAAGCGAACATATCTCATGGTGGTATTTGCGAATGAAGTCCAGAGTATGAGTGTCTCTAACGTCAATGGAGTCATCCATTATGGACACAAAGCACCAGTCATATGTCATAGCTATATAGCTGCATACACATTCAACGGAAAAAAATGAGCCTGTGACTATCAAGCACATTGAGCTCCTCCCTGACCCAGGCAACACCTTGTACACTGCTCCTTGCCTTATATTTTCCTTGAAAGATCATTGATATTTTGCCCGTGATGAATAGCCATTCAGCTCAGTGTTTACCCGTGGAATTCTGCCACCTTTTCCACGGAACCTTCTATCCCAAAAAAATAAAAATGGTAGCAATGGAAACTGCGTGCGCGGGAAAAAGTCTCAAAAAACCTGCAGCCCCAGCCAGGCGAGGCTTAGACACCGGGACCACATGAGGTGCACATATTCATCTACACATCCCTTCTTTGTAAACATTCGGCTCTTGTCGTATACTCCACAGGACTGCTACTGAGCTTAGCACTAAGTATAAGGGCTTTCGTCGTCAATTAGTCTGGCCTGCTCCATTACCTAAGATGACACTGATAAGTTGGGCCAGGACATTCTACGGCAGACACTCTCTGTCAGGACAATTTTGGCACTTCAACGAGACCTCTGCTAAGGATCCATGGATAAGTTGGATAAATTCCACGGGTAAATACTGAGCTGGATGGCTATTCATCAAGGGCAATATATCAATGATCTCTCAAGTAAAAAGAGGCAAGTAATACTGTACTAAGTGTGGTCTGTGTCAAAGAAGAGCCCAAGGTGATGGATAGTTATAAACTCAGATATCATAGTATACCACACACATCGCCCCTTCAGATCTTGCTAAAATACCTGTATTGGTCCCTAGGGTATCAAACCAAGATGATTGAGAATCTTGATTTTAATTTTGACTTTAACGTGAGGATGTGCCGTGAAATCGACAGCGAATGCTTACCATTGACCCATTGTGATTAGGTGGTGCGACTTGGGTGCTACATTAAGCTCTGCTGTGATCAAGCGAGATTTACACATAAGACATGGAATCCCTGCTACGCTTTTAGCTTGGAGGTCCTCACTTGTAACAACGAGGCCATATCTCTGCGTCTGCGGATATCAGACAGAACACGCATACAAAAACACAATGTCGGCGGCTCGAGGCGAAGCTGGATACGATGTGCAAGTCGATGTAGACGAAGATGTAAGGATTTACGAGATACTCCCCCCATCTTAGAGCCAATTAGAGGTTCAACTAACCTTCTCCAGGGCGACCTAGGCCACACTGATCTCCAAGAAGACCTTGAATTCCACTCCTCAAACTTCAACGAGAACGCTACCTATGCGTCGCGAAAGCCCAATGGAGGTGGCCTCCCAGCACCGGCGACGGCAGGAAACGGGGCGTCTACGAAGCGGATGCTATGGTCGCTGTCATTCTATGCGCAATTTTTCGACGTCGACACAAGTGCTGTCCTCACCCGCTGCTGGGCCGCGCTCTATCCTCGCGCAAACTTTCTTGACGTGCTCGACGGTAATCCTGATCTTTATGGACCGATTTGGATTGCAACGACTGTGGTCTTCATCTTATTTTTAGGTGGCACGATTAATCAATACCTCAGCAGTACCATTGGCGAGCAATTCGTTTATGACTTCACCCTCTTGAGTGGTCAGTTCAATCTATCACATCTGAAAATTATTTGTGATTTTGCTAATACCCGACCCAGGTGCTGCGGGTTTGATTTATGGCTATACCCTCTTTGTCCCCATCGCCCTATTTCTCGCATTGAAGTATTTTGGCAGCGAATCCGCAAACCTTCTGGAAAGCTGGGCTCTATATGGATATTCAAATCTTATCTGGATACCAGTTGCCCTAGTAGCCTGGTCACCAATCACCATCTTGAATTGGGTTTTCGTTGGGATGGGGTTTGGACTCAGCATCACTTTCTTACTTCGAAATCTCTATCCCGTTCTTAGCGCCACCGAGAAGCAAGTTAGCAAGGTGTTATTAATAATCATGGTTGTTTTACATATTGCGCTTGCAATCTCTATTAAGTGGCTTTTTTTCAAGAAAGCCAGCTTGATAGGAGACAGCAAAAAACCTCCAGCATTAGCAAATATGTTACTGTATTAAATTTTTGATTGAAAGATAAAGCTTTGGACCGATATTCAGTGTTTAATCGTTACTTTTTGATCACGTTTCTACCCAGTAATTCGAATATCTACAATGGATACAGCTCTGGTGTTGCTCACTTCATGTGGGCCACCGAACCTATCTACCCTCATGGTTCGGCAGCTGCAGCTGAATCTACTTCTATCCTCTCAATCTTCCCACCCCGCTTCTCCCAATCCAGCCAGCTACCAACGTAGTTTCCTACCTTATTCCAACCCGCAAGCATCGCTAATTCGGCCGCTTGTGCACTGCGTAAGCCCGAGCGGCAGAAGAAAACGAGCTCAACGTCCTTGTCCGGGAAGCGCAAGCCGGGGCCCGAGTTGCCGGCCTCGGTACGCGCAAGAGCCTCTTGCACGAGATGTAGGGGTATATGTAGGCTACCCGGAATGGTGCCCGAGGCAACGAGTTCGCTCTCCCTGCGCACATCAATGAGCACACGCTTGCGTGTCGGCACCGTCACCACGTCGGCGATCTACAGTTCACTCTATTAGCCCAGCAAAAGACACTGAAAACTCCTTACATCATTGTAATCGTAAGACGTAATTTGCGGGTGGGCCGCTTCGCCGTCTGATATTGTTGATATGCATGGCCCGAAGTTAGCGGCGTTCACCGGCGGCATTGAGAAACCGTTAGTGTTGCTGTTGATGTTCGGGAATCCGGAGTTCCGCGGCAATATTCGGCTGGCCGTCCCCCGGATAATAAGAGGCATCATGATAGATAGTTGTAATCTTGCCATGAATTGTACGATATATTTGCAAAGCAAGGTTTGAGTGAAATTATCCACTGGTATGTTAAGGTTTCTGTAGGTTGATTTCGCGCTTATTCATTGCTCAATTCCAGGCTCGGCTTTCGACTATGCGGGTAGAAACTGTATAATATCACGTGTCTAGCGCTCAACTAAAATAATACTGAGGTTCAATATCCAACGTCATCATTATACAAGCCCATCTTCACTTTCACTGTTATCAACTACAAACTTTTTGAGTGTTCTGTTCTCCATGAGCTTAGGTAACTTTTGATTGACTCCATTACTTTCGCCATAGACACTTTGGACAAATTTGAATTCCCGGTCTTCTTCGTCCACATTATCTTCATCCCCAACGCCAACCAAAAAATCTTCACTGTCATGCAACTGAGGTGGAAAGGGAAGCAGAGCCTTTTCATCATCCGATTCCCAGCCATGGTCCTCATCATTGTCATCGCTATCGGCGATTTCTGGGTTATCGGTTAATTTACGCTTTTTGGGCAGCGAAGATACCGAACAGCTTTTTTCATCTTCAGGTGTGAGCTTTGCTAAGAGACTTATACGGTTGTTGACCTGATTACTCAAAGGTATTAATCCATCCTGAGTTAAAATTAGCGTGGCTGTGTTACTATTCCATAGAGTGTATTTACTGCTTCGATGCGAAACCCAACCAGCAATTTTTTCGTCTTCGGCACATTAACGCCTTCTGCTTTGACCACCTTAGCCAATCTAACATTATAATTCCAGCTTCCGTCCTCATTTTCCCAGTCCCAGTGTCGAAACAAGACTAGTCGACAACGTAGTCCTTGTTCCCAGATAGGCATGCTAATAGCTGGAACTAAGTCTGCGTTTCCGTTGAGACGTAAATTTGTAATGCATTGTTCAGTTACCACGACTGCAACATTTCTAGTAGCTGCCAGTTTTTGGAGGAGAGATACTAACGTCTGAAATACAGAAAATCTACGTGAGGCCAAATCTACTTGAAGTTAGTCATACGTAGCTATAAGTGTTATTGTTATTACTACCAGTTCTGCGGACGTTAGAGATAGCTTTTGAGTCAGGCGGAAATTCTGCTGTTGTCAGGGAAGATAATGAGTCGATCACGAGGAGACTCGTGTTCAGTGGTGGGTAGTTGCTGATGAAATACGAGATTAATGCGATCAAATGCGCGAGAGTTGGGGTCGAGAAGTGGGTAAATCTAGATAGAAGCTCTGCAAGCGATTGAGGTGGTGTCGTATTCATGGCATGAGAGTGACGAGATTGATGTGACGTTATAACTTCGGTGAAACGAGGGCCGGATATTTCATGAGATGTATCTACGCCCATGAGAATAAGCGACTGAGACTTCAAATTTTAAATCCTGATGATGGAATTTCTCATTTGAAGTAGACTTCCATCTCGAGACTGGATGCTGCTGGCTCGGGTCTGATAGCAAACCTTTTATTATCGCCAGGGCTGAGATGTAACTAACCTACCCAGAGTACTCCTTCACCGGAATGTAGTACACTTGCAGCCAATTGCATTCTGTAATCTGTAAGTACTTATGCTAAAGTACAATGATAAGGCTGCCTCACAAGAAGGTAGTTTTACCAACGCCAGGAGGTCCGTACACATCAGTTACCTGACCCCTTGATACACCTCCAAATTTTGCATCTTCTTGCAGTGTTTCTTGATTCTGTAGGAAAGCATCAAGTAGGCAAAGCCCTGTAGATATGCATCTCGAAGGCGAACACTTTAAATCTTTTAGAGCTTGGGCTGCAGAGACAGTCGGTAGGCGATCTAAATATATTAGCACCAAATTGGTTGAAGAACATTGAAATACTAGACCTACGTGTTGATGGCGATGAGAAGTTCGAAATACCTTGTGCTTGCGATAGAGAGCTTTCCATTTAACTCGTTGAAAAATACCACTTGACAGAGCTAGATCTGTCAATGCTTTGCTATTTCATCTCAAAATTAGGTGAATTGTAGCTAACATTAGATGATTACAGGTCTTTTGAAGAAGGTGTAAGGTCTTGGGATAGTTAGGTGAGGCTGAGGCGGCCAGCCCGTGACCTAAATCACGGGTTGTGTATCAGCGCGAAAATAGCTAATGTTCTCAATTATCCCGATTTGGAGCTATAAGGAACGTTGCAGGTTTTTTCGGGATATTTAAATTTTATGCAGTATGGCCTGTTCCGGGGGGGACTATTGCCAACACCTGTCAGTGATGTCCCCTACAAACCTCCAACTCTCACTGTTGAGTCTGCAGAGCCGAGTTTGAGTAGCAAAGTCCTCACTTCATTGATGATTCCCCATCGCTTACGCGGTCTGTATCGTCCTCATCTCTCAACACATTCCTCTATCACCATTATCATGAAGCAAACCACGATCAGATCAGATGGTAGGGTCGGAGCTCTTCTCATCACCAAACCTTGATCACGGAGGAAAAGCCACCCGATGAGTTTCCGGAGCGTACCCAGCACCCGATACGGAGATGGTGGATTGGATCAAGTCTGTCTCGACTGTTACAAAGAAGAGAGATATAGATGAATATGCGCACCTTATGTGGTCCCGGTGTCTAGGCCTCGCCTGGCTGGGGCTGCAGGTTTTTTGAGACTTTTTCCCGCGCACGCAGTTTCCATTGCTACCATTTTTATTTTTTTCGGATAGAAGGTTCCGTGGAAAAGGTGGCAGAATTCCACGGGTAAACACTGAGCTGAATGGCTATTCATCAAGGGGAATATATCAATGATCTTTCAAATAACAAAAGAGGACAGGAGCACCGCACAAGGTGTGGTCTGGGTCAGAAAGGAGCCCAATGTGCTAGATAGTCATAGACTCGGAGGGCAAGACTGAGCACCTGTACACGGTGTCATCTACGAACCTGGGAGTGAAATATTCTCCCAGAGCCAAGTTCAGTCAAACTTCGCAATATCAAAGAAGTGGGCCCACGAGGCAAAAATTCAAATTAATCCACTATATCCATCTTTCACTCCCAACGAAATTGATTCCTACCTAAACCTCATCAAATCTACAAGTACGACCTAGTACATCCTCATTCTCATGACCACACCTCTCTTCGACCTTCTCTGGCCTCTCTTGACCACCAAATACACACCCACGCCGATATTCACACCCGACAGAGGAAGCAAAGCGTGGCGCACAAATCTGGGAGACTGTTCTTTGGGATGGTCGTGAGAGGAATCAGGAAAGGCTCACGAGATAATGCAAAGGATGGATACAGTCTCGACGGGCGTGAATTTTCGAATCTTGGCAAGGAGTTTTACGAATTGGGCTTTGTAAATGCCAAGTCTTTGGCTGCGAGAGTGCAGGTGACACTATAAATATCGCCATGGCTGGATGGTGCGGTGGTACATCGTCTTGGTTGGTCTGCCAAGTAGACTCTGGATAGCTTGGACACATATCCCACTTGAGACAGTAGATCGCTTGTTCGAATCCGGCAAAACACAACCACGTTTCTCGCGGCGCTGGTGCACATGGATGACGAAGGCATGCTTGGATAACCAAAGGTTTTGAAATTCCCTTTGGTGGGTACTTACGGAGGAAGGTCGATTGTTTGTGTAAGCGAACATACCTCATAGTGGTATTTGCGAATGAAATCCAGAGAATGAGTGTCTCAAACGTCAAAAGAGTCATCCAACATGTATACATAGCACCGGTCATGTGTCAAAGCTAGATAGCTGAATACACATTAAATGACTCAAAAAAAAATAACACATTAGTCACTTTCTTGCGATTGAAAAGTTAAAGCTTTGGAGCTTCGTTAGGATGCGATCGAAATGATTGGCAAGGCAATTTGCTTTAAAATATTCCTTTTTTGCAGCGTCGAAGAGGTTAAGTGGCTTTGGGTCTGGCGGCTCTATCCCTATGTGGGGGTTATAGCCGTAATTTGCGAAGAAAGGGGATACACCTGTTGTTTCACTTATCTGATTATTTCGTGAAAATTCAGCAAGTGGAAGCCAGTCAGCCCAACCATCCTGGGTGAAACTAACAAATGCTCGTAGGTATTTATCCAAAGCAGAATTTACTATTTCTGTTTGCCCGTCGGTTTGCGGGTGGAAAGCCGAGCTTTGCTTTAAAGTAATTGAAAGACGAGCACTTAGCCTGCGCCAGAAGTATGAAACAAATGCAGAGCCGCGATCCGAAACAATGGAATTGGGTGCACCGTGAATTTTGTAAACATTTTTGACAAAGGATTCAACAAGTTCTATTGTATCAAGTGATGTTGTGGCAATAAAATGTCGCATCTTAGTGAGTCGGTCTACTATTACAAGAATATGACGGAAAATCTTACCATCGCGCTTATAAGGTGGTAAGTCAACTATGTGGTCAATTGAGATGTCAGACCAGGCACGGAGTGGGTTTTCGAGAGGTTTTAGAAAACCAGGTGAAGATGATCGTGGGGATTTTGTTCTAAGGCAGAGAGCGCATCCTTTCACAAAGTTTGCCACAAATTGACACATTCGAGGCCACCAATATGTTCTCTGTAGTAGATCAAGAGTTTTAACTCGGCCGGGATGACCTGCAGGACCCGAGGAATGGCAACGGTGGACAATTTCTTGACGGAGATCCTCATTGTCGGGTACAAAGATTCGGCCACAAAAATACGCTAACCCCTTATTCAGTTTAAATTCTACTTTATCCTTACGAAGTAGAGATCTCAGTGTCTTTGACCACCGCCTGTCGGATATATTTTGCAAAGATACAACTATGGACTTAGCAATTTTGTTTTCTTTGTAGGCTTGAATGATTAAATCTGTCAAAGAAATTTCAGAGGATTTAATTTTTAGCGATTCAACTCTCTCATTTTTTTGAAGCAAGCTCCGAAATAAGTCTGGGTCAACTTTGTGTGCAGGAATCATAGTACGGAAGCGATTTTTAAGGCGTTCATCAGAATTGTCTTGTGGCTGAAGACCTGGCAAACGACTTAATGTATCTGGAATTAATGCGCCCGACCCAGGACGACAAGTGATTGTAAAATTGAACTGGGACAAGAAGTCAGACCACCGTACTTGTCGCTGGTTATGTTGTTTAGCTGTGAGGAAGGTTTTTAAATTCTTGTGATCGGTGATTATTTCGAATGGTTGCTGAACACCTGCTAATTCAGGCCGCCATTCTTCTAAAGCTTTTATGATTGCAAGGAGCTCTTTATCATAAATCTCATAGTTGGATTCTGCAGGGTTATGTTTTGAAGAGTAGAAAGCTACTGGGTGAAGAATACCATCATCCCCCCTCTGGAGCAGTGCATCTCCTGAGGCCTAGTTTGAGGCATCAGTTTCAACAATGGTGTGCTTTTGATAATCGAAATATGAAAGAATTGGTGCTTTGGTAAGTGCTCTCTTTATTAGAATATGATTCTTCTAGACGGGTAATACAATGGTACTGGAAGTAGAATTGATAAAGTATAGGGTTAACAGAACGTGTACATTACTCTACTCCCTCAGCATTTTGGAAATGCTACGACTATGCTCCTACTATTATGTGTCTATGAGCCTCGCCTCCACGCTAATATGAAACTACTAATACAGGGTATATAAGATCTCCAAACGCCTTACCCATTTTACTTTTAGGTAAACACTAATCAGAACCATAACTCCATTATGTTAAGGCACAGGGAGGATTATGTTTGACTAACAATCTTATAGTATAAAACGAGTTTGCTTGGTGTCCAGACCATGACCAAGTGATATTTTTTCGTAAGAGGCGTGTTAGGGGCTCAATCACAGCTGAATATCCACGAATAAAACGCCTATAAAAGTTTGAGAATCTCAAGAATTTTTGCATCTCTTTCACTGTTTGAGGCTCTTCCCACTCCAAGATTGCCTTAACTTTGTCAGGATCCATACTAAGTCCATTTGTGGAGATTATTAAGCCAAGGTACTTAGTTTTTGTTGTGAAAATTTCCGATTTTGCTATATCCAGTTGCAGCCCTGCATCACCAAGACGACGTATCACCTCATTGACATGTTTTTCGTGATCTTCTCTATTATCTGAATAAATTAAAACGTCATCCAATTAGGCAGTACAGTATTTATCAAGTGCATCATGCAGAATATGATTTATGTAGTTCTGGAAAGTTACGGGAGCGTTACAAAGACCGAATAGTGTGACAACCATTTCTTATAGTCCAAATCGTGTTATAAATGCCGTCATCCACTGATGTCCTTCAGAGATACGAATTCGATTAAATGCAGATATCACGTCTAATTTTGTAAAAAAATTTGCATTTGAGATTGAATCCAAAGTTTCGCGGATCAAAGGAAGTGGATATCGGTTTTTAATGGTAATATTATTGAGACCACGATAATCTTGGCAGATACTTACACCCCCGGCTGGTTTAGCGGTGAGAAGGAGTGGTGCGGCAGCTGGGGAGGAAGATTCTCGTATGAAGCCTTTAGCTAACATTTCGTCGATCCATTTTTTGATACATTGTAGCTCAGTTGGGGAAAAAGGTCTATTCTTATGGTAAGGAACCTGTTTTCCAGGTAGAAGCTCTATTTTGTGGTCTCAAGGGCGATGCGGTGGCAGAGAGTTTGCATTCTTTGGTAGAAAATGTTTGGCATGATGATGGAATTCTGATGGCGGTTTAGACTTTATAAAATCAAGAGTCAACTCGCATTTGTTTTCGAGGAATTTATCAATATCCGATTGATGGACTTTTCGACGTAAGGATTACAAGTTTTTAGGGTTATTTTTGAAAACTGGGGCTTTAAATTCATTATTGGAGTAAACATTTGACGAACTATTAAGCATTTTACTCTGGCTACCTTCCATATTGGTTTTTAGCGGTTTATGTGTAGCTGGGTTGGATGATATTATGGTAAGCGATGCGGAAGGCGATGCACTCGCGTAGGAAAGCTGTTGGTGAGGATTTAATTTTGAATGT